GCAGTAGCAGTAGCAGTAGCAGTAGCAGTAGCAGTAGCAGTAGCAGTAGTAGTAGCAGCAGCAGTAGTAGTGGTAGTAGTAGTAGTAGTAGTAGTAGTAGTAGTAGTAGTAGTTGCAATTGTAGTAGTAGTGTTGTATCTGTTAGTTGCATTATTTGTTAGATTTGTCCTTGTTATTTGTAGTGTTATTGTTAAGTAGAATCAATTCTTGTTAAAACGTTATGTTAGTGTTGTAAGTATCGGAAGTGCTGTGAGCATTGTTGCTTTTTATTGTAATTGGTAAGTGATACAGGTGATGTAAGTAAGGGGCTATTCACATGATTCTGGAATGACTTTCATTCAGGAATGAGTTTCATTCTAGAATGAAGTTCGTGCTGCATTCACATGACACAATCGATGGGCCCAGGTTTTCGCGCCAGATCAGATTTCCGCCATCTTGTAAACGATACGCATGCGACACCCGCCCCAGACTACATGGTTTATGATTTTCGTTTTCACTTTACTTGATACAAGAATAAAATTTCATTCCAGAACGAGGATTTCTTTCAGATTGAAAACCAGAATGAACTCATTCCAGAATGGCTTGTAAGGAAATAAAATTTCGACTCGTTATCATGTAAACAGATACCGGCAGAGAAATATATGGGGATGGAATGAAGTCGTTCCAGAATGAAAATCATCCCGGTATCATGTAAACAGCCCCTAAGTTAAGTAATGTAAAATTGTAACTAAAGTGTGGTATTACAAAAAAGAAAAATAAAGAAAAAAAATAATAAAGGGGTATTTTTTTTGTCATAAGTTGGACCAGCCATGTTAAATTTTTCTAACGAGTTATTGTCTTGCGCTTTAATAAGTAAATTACTTTCACTTCAGTCCAAGATTTCTTCTAAGTTGCTTAAACCATTCTTTTGCATTCACACAGACTTTTCAAGGAAACCGTGATCAACTGTCTATCCAAACCCACCCAATCAACCCGGCAATATACTGTCGGTATGTTCGGATCATACCACGAGGCTGGCGAGCACATATTTCCATGAGACTGGAGTTGTATGGAAGTCCGTGGAGTAAGTAACTTAAAAAAAAGTATTTTACATACTCTTTTCACTATCTATTCTGTTGTAGCTAGTGATCAGCCTAGCAGTGTGCGGCTGGGAACATAATGGCGGTCGCTTCTTGGCGTTTTCGAAGTGCTTTTGCAGAGGATTTATGCAAATTTTGAACGACTAGTGGATTTACACTAAAACAATCAGATTATTCGCTCTCGATTTCTATGCGTAAGAGCTTCCTGGGGCTGCGCCCTCGATAGAAATCTCGAGCTCATAATCTAATTGTTAATTACGGGAAGATTCATCCCACATATGAAAACTTACTATGTGAAAAAAATGCCTTCTGTCTCAGCCAATCAGCATTCGGTAATTTGCTCCGTATGCGATAAAAAACAAATTCTGGGAATTGGCGTATTTTGTTTCTCAGCGAGTATGTTGTGTTGTTTTGCTGGAATCGCCAAAGATATCCAGAGGACAGGCGGCTCTTAGACAACGAGACGTGATGGTGATTTGGGAAAAAGTGCTTTTGCTTTAATACTGGTTTTTTTTTTCTTTGTTCCAGATCGCTGTGACATGCCACTTGGTCTCGAGGACAAACGCGTCCACAATAAGATGATACGCGCTTCCTCGTACTATAACTACTGGTGCGGACCTTGGAGTGGACGATTGAACGGGCGCAGACATGGTCGATACGGAGGGGCCTGGTGCGCAAAGAGGCGAGACAGACGCCAGTGGCTTCAGATTGATTTTGGCGCTCTTACAAAAGTGTATCGTATTGCTTCTCAAGGAAGACAGAACTCCGCCCAGTGGGTGAAGTCGTATTCTCTGTCATACAGCAAGAACGGATACAAGTTTATAACTTACAAAGAAGGAGGGCGAACCAAGGTTAGTTCGGAAACAGTCGCAATCATGTTCCATAGCTTATTAACAAATAGGGAACGCGTTGGACAATCAAACGCCCGACGGTATGTATTACGGTACAATATTTCCGCGCGAATCGGTCTGTAGTTGATACGATGTACGCAATCGTGTTACGCGTCTGTATTAATGTACAATACGAAAGCAGCGTACAGTTATGACTGTGGACTTATCACTAGTGGTGACTAAAAGCTAAGAGAGAGACCTTGTCTCTTTTTTCCCTATCGGAACTTCGTGCCTCGTACGGAGAGCTTCGACAATTGTCGCTGGTATAGAAGATTTCTACAGGCGCGTAACACGATCGCATGCGCACTGCACGGTGACTCGAATCAATAACAGACCGATTCGCGCAAATAGGACTCCTCTGCTACCTGTGTTGTGAGCCGTGTTCTTGAAGTCTTGCATAACGTAATGGATTTTTATTTCAGGTATTCCCAGCTAACTACGATCAGCACGTGATCGTACGTCATAGACTCCGTCATCCAATCTTAGGACGCTACTTTAGATTCCACCCAATCACGTGGTATAGCTGGATATCAATGAGAGTGGAATTATATGGTTGTGTTGTCGGTGAGTTTGGATATCACTTCCGGTTCTCTGTTTTTGTTTACCCCCTGATTGTAAACATGCACATTAATATCATGGGTGACAAATTACTCCCTAATTTTGGCGCGAAATTTCAGCGTTAATCTATAATTTCACATGTGAAATTTCAATATTGCCATGGGAACGTTTCGCGCAAAATTTCTCGATACAATAAACAAGTCAAAAGCCCGCGATTGTAAGCGTAATTAGTCATCTATGACATTAGAAGGTCACGGTAGTGAAACGGTACACTCGTAAAATTAAGAAATAATTTCACTTGCGTTTTGTCAAAATTCTAATTATTTCTCTCGCCTTTTAATTATTAAAATTTTGACAAAACACTCGGAAAATTATTTCCTTGTTTCCTCACCATTTGATTACCCATACTTATCATCAATCAAGGCCTGTGAGCTAGCAAGTACTTCATATTTTCTTTCAAGAGCGAGAAAAAAATATTACGGCTGAGAATGAACTGTTAGAAAACCTATTCAAAAACTTCGAGCTTTGACTAAGTTTAACGATTTTGTACCACATTCAACTTCTGAATTAGTTTGTAGATTGATCTGAAACTGAATTCTTAAGTATGGCTTAAACATAACTTAAGCGCAGCAAACCTTTTTCACGTTTCTTTTATTTGAGTTTTGTTTAAACTAGCAGGTCGATAACTTGAGTACGGCCTTGCCTCAGAGCGAGGGCCAAACAGACCCAAACCCGCCTCGTGGTCACGGCTGTGTACAAAGGGCTAACTAAGGTTGATTAACGCTGTTCCATATTTTCATTCAAAAATGGTTATTCTTTACCTAGGTGCGCGATGCAACAAGCCTCTAGGAATGCAAAACGGCCGCATTCGCGCGGCACAAATTACCGCTTCGTCCAGCTGGGACAGGAACCATGCACCTAACAATGGCAGGCTTCATCTGCATCGTGTCGGCGCGCGAATGGGGGCCTGGTGCGCACGCCATAACAACCGTCTTCAATGGTTTCAGGTGAACTTTGGTCGCCCGACAAGGGTGGTGAAGTTCGCTACTCAAGGACGACATGACGCCCGTCAGTGGGTGACTCAGTATTATTTGACGTTCAGTCAGGATGGTGCACACTATGCCGAATACAAAGAAAACAGCAATCGAAAGGTATATACTACATACGCATTTAACAATTATTCTACGAGCACGCGTTTGATATGAGTTGGCTATAATCATCTTATATCTAACAAGCGCGAGTGGAATAACTGTTTTATTTACAGTCAAACCGGATGTTCTTTTGATGGGAACTTTGCAAACTTCCGCCTCAACATTGATATTTGATTGACAGTTTGCAAAGTTCTCATCTAAAGAACATCCGGTTTGACTGTAAAACTCCCCCAAAATATAGAAAAATAAACTAAAATAAAAATAAAAACGTCTCAAGAATTCACGCGTACGCTTACCATATTTGTAGAGCATGGTATAATGGCTCATAATCCATGATGGCTAAGCCAATGAACGTGGCTATTGAATTGGATTATCCAATGATTCAGTTTTTAATAAAGATGTCTTTAAAGTTTCTGGTATAACTTCAGGTTTACTAGGCAAGTCTAGTTACAGAACAGATTGTTGTCTGAATCATTAAATTAAATCATTCGCTAGAGACTGAAACATTTATAGTGAAGACAAATTTAAAATAATTGAACAATTGACGTTGTTCAGGTGTACACATTTTTTAGTGACTTTAGAATGAGCGCCCTTCATATTAACAAGAGTGTTCAGTTTTTTCTCACAGTAAAAGCGCTGATCTTGCTCGTTTTATGGTCTCAATGGGCGGCAAAAATTAACGACATTCTTAGCTATATCAAAATATTCATGCCCCGTGTGAGGATCGAACTCACGACCTTCAGATTTCTAAGTTAGATTATGAGACTGACGCGCTGCCTACTGCGCCAACGAGGCATCTATGAATATCTAGACTGCTAGATTTAAAGTCGTGAATGATCCTAAACCTGGGGTGCTTTCCAATCAACCAAAAACTCCGGTTTGCATTACCGGAAATTTCCAGTGGCGAATGGAAATATCATTTTTTAAAGCTATACCAAAAATGTCTGAAATTTCGTTACCGGGAATTTGAGTTCCACTTGATTTTCCTATCCGAAATGTCAGTAATTTTTGGTTATATAGCTCCCATTTCGGATTTTTCGGAAACTTTCGTAGGAAATTTCTATGCCATTTGACCCCGTTTCAAGAGTTCCGGAATTTTCGGCTGAACTTACAGCGTCTCTTTTTCAAGTTAAGTTTGGACTGCCTGGCCCTTATTTTGCAGTAGGACTTGCTAGTTCTCTTATTCCAGCGTGTACAACGTAAAATGCGGGAGTTTTTTTGCAGCGAGTTTAACAGCAAACCATAACTTTAACTGGCCTTTACCCCAAGTGAGAATTAGTTCTCGGACTGGCTAGACAGACATCAAAAATAGTAAACATCCAAAAAGTGAATTTCTGTCTGGAAAACTCGGTGCGCAAAGGTTTTCCTATGTACCTCTACCTGAATTATCGCGTACCGACTCAAAAAAATAAATAAATAAATAAATAAATAAATAAATAAATAAATAAAACCCTGTGCCCCGTATGAAGATCGAACTCACGACCTTCAGATTTCTTAGTTGGATTATGAGACTGTCGCGCTGCCCACTGCGCTAACGAGGCAACTGTGCTATGAGATGCAAATTAAGAAAATAAAGAGCAGTCTGATTCACATTACTGTTCCCTTAATTTTCACTGTTTCCGGTCACAGTTTTCGTGATGATTCTGATTGGTGATTCTTCATTGATCAAGCTGACTTGGTCGACGCAAACAACAGAGTAACATTCACCAAAGAAAATATACGAAATTTAAATAATGCCTCTTTGCTGTTCTCTCTGTTAGTACTTCCAAGGAAACAGAGATCAAAACAGCGTTGTTCAACATCGACTGTTCCCTCGAATCAAAGCCCAGTACATTGAAATTCATCCTTGGGGCTGGTACAGACATATTTCCATGAGGGTGGAGTTCTATGGATGCGCTGAAGGTTTGTTTATCGATATCATTCTCACACTTTTGATTTGCATGAAATGGGGGGAATAATTCTCTTAATTTTTGGTTGTCAACGTAAAACTCTTGATTCTCAGGTGAGAACTTTGACACTTTGTAGATGAAAAAGCACTGCAGTGAAGCCTCCAAAAAGACTTTTTTTGTGCCGGGGATGAACAAGCCCTTTACAGGGCCCGGTTACATGTTGCAAATCAGCCAATCAATCAATCAATCAATCAATCAATCAATCAATCAATCAATCAATCAATCAATCAATCAATCATTAACAGTACAGTGGGCCGCAAGTTATGCAGTGGGTCATCTAAAACAAAGTAAAGTCAAGCTCACTGTGTAACTTGCGTCACAGCAGGGCTGAGCTTGTACTTTTGTACCACGTGACAGGGTCATACAAAGGTCTTATTTCGCGAAATAGTCCGAAATAACCCGTTACTTAAGAGTCTCGCCGACGGTGCTATCAACGATCGCCAGAGTATAAGTATTGAGAGTAAAACACGCGCGGGTCGGACTTGCGTGAAGGGACATTGATCATTGCAACGAAGGTTTGATTATTCGCCATTTCCACATTCCCCATAATACACCTTGTTTGCCTCCCCCCTCCAAATTTTGCATAATCATTGTCTTCAGTTTCTCTTGGGACGACAGTAATACCCAGGAGAAATGGGAAACGAAGGTTATTCAGATTTTTGGGGGTAAACAAGGTGTATTATGGGGGATGTGGAGGTAGCGAATGTAACACTTCTCATGACAAGTGTTACTGAAGAGCATATTTGCGCGGTGCTTGGAATAAGCTAGCTTCGTACTTACTTTTCAGGGTTATTCGGAAGCTGCATGTTGCTTTATTCTCTGACGCATCTATGGCGTTATATAGCACTTCATACGAGCCTGGAACAGGAAAAATTTCTCCAGACTGCCTGCTGGAACTTACTGTCGGTGAGACGCCCGAATTGTCCGTAACTGTAGGCTTCTGCCAGTAAACTCTGACATCAGGTGATGTAAGATTATCCATTACTATGTCGCTTGGGCAATACGTGAATACAGGTGGCTCTTCGTCTACTGGAACTAAAGTTATATGGTATATGTGACGAATAGATAGTAAAAGTTGTATTTAATACTAACTAATACTTAATGGACACCCGACGGACAAGGTTCATGGATTACCGCACTGTAGAAGTTTGATAGCATGCGTGAGCTCGACATGGTCGGAAGTGGTTTTAAGCGGAGTATAATTCCCTTCGTTCTATAATATTTCCTTGGTATTTTTGTCCTTAATCACATCTTGGAGTGATGCTGTGTAGTGCCAATTTGAGTGAAGAAGATTAGTGTAAAACACAAAAGAGAAGTAAGAGTTTCTTTGGAAGAAGGAGATAACACTTCGAAATGATCCAATATGGCGGATAGTGTTGAGGATCGGAGGTTCCAGATGTTGCAGCCACTCAGCCCGAACCAAACCTAATTGATATCAAGGAGATGCCAGTTGACATGCAAACTATACAGTCGCAACGACACTCAGGGATTAAAAATCCAAGAACTCAAGCAAGAAATTCTAGAGCAGAAATCCGCCCTAATTGCCAATCAAAGGAAAACGGAGAAGATTGAAACGCAACTTACCAAAGCCGAGAAAGCAAATGACACGTTGGGGGAACGAGCTTAACCACACAAGAATCAAGCTGAACGATCACATCGAAGAAACGAATAAATTGGACGAAAAATAGGACGACCTGGATTACTATTCACGTAAAAACACGGTAGAAATTTTTGGGCGTACCTGCAGGCGCGTACACATCAACCGACGACCTTGTATTGGAGTCATCAACGTCGAAATCAAATCGGATTATATAGAATATCACATAAACTCCAAAGAAAACAATATTAAGCCAGTAATTGTCAAATTCGTGAGGCAGAGAAAAGTAAAATCACTTCCCTGCAAAGCGAAAATTAAGCTTAAAAACATGAAAACCTCTGACTTATTTCCAAGCTATGCTTACGCGTCCCGAGAGCAGCAACATACATTCATCAACGAGAATCTTACGAATTATCGAGGAGAGCTGTTCTGGAAAGGAAACAAGTTGAAGAAAGATAAGACGAGTACCAGTACTCGGATAATAGATGGAAAAAGTGGCATTCCTGAGAAGGAACCTCTCAAAATGTCCTCAACAGACCAAGGTGCAAGCGTATACCGCCATGGTAAGACCACATGTAGAGTATGCATCAGCTGTGTGGGATTCCCATCTAAAGAAAGATGGGAAGAGAGTGGAAACCATCCAGAGGCGGGCAGCCAGATTCATTAAGGGGGAATCCAGAAGGGAAGATGGCATTGTGACACAGTTGTTAAACGATCTTGACCGGCCACCCCTTGAATTAAGAAGGAAATGTCACCGCATAGAAATTTTTTTACGAATCGTTGCATGGCAGAAACACGATTTCCATCGCAGCTCACCTGAAGGTGCCTTCAAGTTACAACACAAGATCATAGGCAACCTACATAAACCC